GTCCCACCAAGCCTTCCTGGCCGAAGCTTAATGCCCATGGGTGCCGGTACCCCAGACCCTGACCACACAGATCTCTGCACAGGCCCTTGGTGCAATCACTGTGCTCCTGGAAAGCTGCCAATTGAATCCCATCTTCCCATTGGCTCACCTGGACATTGCAAAGCTGCTTTCCTGCTGAAGGCAGGGGCTCGCTGTGAGCATTTCCTAGGGTCTTTGCTTCCTGTTTGTCCTTAAGGGGACAACTATGCATAGAGAGGCCTCAGGATTTGGGCAGAGATGAGGCAGTGGGGAGGGTCTTTCAAGGAATGGCTGGCCTTGGCCCATGTGGAGGCAAGCAAGGAGGCTGTCCCATCAGGGAGTCCCCAGCGTGAGTGGGGAGACTGGGCAGTCACACTACACTGGGGCTGCCTCCTTTCTCTGGCTGAGCAGGAGAGTGGAGAGAGTGCAGCTTGCCTGGGGGAAACTGAGATGGGCTCCCTGCCCACCCTAATCCCCCTGTTCCAGACCCACAGCCACTGACCAGATCAGATAGGGCACGTTCCTGCATCGAGCTGCCCACTTACTGGGACCGTGCTGACGCAGGCAAAGAAATATTAACCCGGCAGAATGGTTGCATGTTCACGTGTGCGTAACTCGGGGAGTGTGTGTGTGTGTGTGTGTGTCACTACAGAGAGGCTTCCGTGTGCAAGATCGACACATATAAGCAGATGCATGTGTGCGCACATACACACACACCCACACACCTGTCCATCCACACAGGCATATGCTCACATATAGGTATATACAAAGACACAAATGCTTCTCACACATGCAAATTTCTTCAGTGTTGTCTCCCTGGCTGCTTCCGTTAATAAGACCCTTCTTCCTTCAGGAAGCCTTCCCTGATAGCTCCAGCTCATACTAGAAAGTGACAAGCCTGAGCTCAATCCCTGGTTTCAGGCAGCTTAATATAGGCTCTTTTCAGATGGAGTAGGCCGAGGGTGGAATTCTGGGTTCTCAACTTCAGGGGATCTTTGCCCTTGGACAAGTGGCTGTGCCTGATCCTGTCTGCCTTGGTCTCCATCTGCCCTGTCCTGAAAGCCTGTGGATGACTCCGAGAAGGATGAGAGCCTGGGCGGGGGGTGAGGGGGAGTTCTGGTAATTGGTGGGTGTGAGAGTTAAAGACCTTCCTGGGTCCTACCTGTGCCCTTGCCCCTCCCCAGCCTCGCCACCTAGTAGGGGAGCCCTGGTCTCCTTGGGGTGAGCCAGAGCCCTGGTCTGGATGTTCTAGTTCTAGGTGATCTTGGGCAAGTTGTCACCTTGCTCTGAATCTATTTTCCTACCCGAAAAATGAGTTTGGAAGGAGACACTTACCTGGGTGGGGCTTAAGTGTCTTTTCTTTTTGGGACATTCTGAGAACATTCATGGCTTCAGATGATTTGAGAGAGACCAGGGCTCCTTGAGGGACCTACCCTGCCCTCCTACCCCCACCCCTGCGCCTGGAGCCAGAGTAGCTCCTTCCTTACTTGTTTATACCATGGGCTCCTGAGTTATGCAAAGGATTCCGTGGCTCGAAAGAGTCAGAAAAACCACAAGTGTAAAACAATGTGATGAAAAGCAGTTTTTGTGATAAGTTAATCCAATGGCGTGTTGATTGAAACAATTTAATCAAAATGTTTATTTTGTGTGTGTGTATCAGTACTTTGGGGAACATTTGAGGGCAGTTTTTAGCATCTTTAGTCATTTTTGTTTCTTCATTCTGATATTTTAAAATTTCAATTTTCATTTTCATTCTTTATTGAGTTTCAGCCAATTGTGTTTATCCCATCCTGTTCATAATAGAGAAGAGCTGGGTCTGTTTAAAATTGGAGACAATCGAAACACCCATCAATAGAAGGATTCCGCATGATATAATCTCCATCAGGTGGAATGCTGTATAACAGGCATGAGGTGGACATGGACCTACTGGCACAGAAAGATATTCTTGACAAACGTTTGAATGAAAAAAGTATTTTAGGCAGGGCGCGGTGGCTCATGCCTGTAATCCCAGCACTTTGGGAGGCTGAGGCGGGTGGATCACCTGAAGTCAGAAGTTTGAGACCAGCCTGGCCAACACGGTGAAACCCCATCTCTACTAAAAATATAAAAATTAGCTGGGCATAGTGGTGCATGCCTGTAATCCCAGCTACTCGGGAGGCTGAGGCAAGAGAATTACTTGATCCCCAGGAGGCAGAGGTTGCAGTGAGCTGAGATGGCGCCACCGCACTCTAGCACTCCAGTGACAACAGCGAAACTCCGTCTCAAAAAAAAAAAAAGTATTTTCTTTTATTTTTATATGTATTTATTTATTTTGAGACAGAGTCTTACTCTGTCACCCAGGCTGGAGTGCATCTTATATTTTATCTGCTAACTCTACTCAAGCCCATCCTATGAAGAAAGGACCCCAGGTGTTCCCTCTCTGCCCCACCCCCATCTTCACTGGCTCAGAGACCCCCCGCAAGCTCTGTGCAGACTAACATGCTTCACAGCTCTGACCCAAACTCCCACCTTGGTGGCCCCTTTAGCTGCCTCTCTTCTCTTTGCAGTTGAACTTTCTGCCTCCTCAGCCTCAGCTTCTTCAGCGCTGTTGCCACCCTCTATCCCCACCAGCTCATCCAGGCAGCTCTATGCAAACACCTGCCTGGCCAGCCCCTCCCAGCAACCAACTCTGGGGCAACAGCCCCCTACTGGCTCCTGTCAGTCTCTGGGCAGCCCCGTGTCTGGGTTTCCAGCTCCTTCCCCACCCACTCCTTCATCATCCCTGTTCCCCAGAATCCTGACCCTGGCCCCTGCCTCACTCCCTGTGCTTCTTGGGCAGCCCCAGCGACTCTAGTGCTGAAGCCCAGGGGCTGATATCTCCTCTTCTCTTTCTCCAGCTAGACCCCTCTCCCGAGCGCAGGCCCAATTGTGCCTCTGCCTGCTGGATGCCCTGGGACCTTGGGGACCTCAGGTTGACCCCATTGCTCTTCTCTTTATTAAGAACCCTTTGAAGGCTCCTCAGGCCCTTGGGCTAAAGTCTGAACTCCTTGGCCTGGCCGACAAAGCCTTTCATGGTCTATCCCTGCCCATTTCCACAGCGCTCTGCAAGTCACTCACAGCTCCCAGGTTTTCTCACAATCCCATCAAGCTTCAAATGCCACGGTGCCCTTCCTCCCCCTGCTCGTTTTGGAAAACTAAGTTCCCATGTCACCTCTTCCGGAAGACCCTTGTCCCCCTCGAGCTTGGGCTAGCCCTGTCTGTATTCCTTCCAGCTTATCTGGTGTGTCCTAAGTCACCTGCTGCTTACCTGTCTCTGCCATGAGACAGACGGGACTATGTCTTCTCCACCTCTCAGTCCCCAGGGTCAAGTACTGTAAATGAGCTTAGGGTCTGATCTGTGACCCCAGTATGGATCCCAATTCCCCCCCTCACCAACCTGACACCAGTCCAGTTCAACTCTGCTCAAGTGCTGACCTCATCCAAGACCCCAGATCCACTTCTGACATGACCTCATCCTGGCCATGGAAGCACACATGGGAAAGGAATAAAGGCAGGGCTCTCCCATTTCCAGGCGTGCACCCCTCCCTTCCTGAGGAAGAGAGACTGAGTCTCAAGCCCACGTAGAATCTGCAGAGGGAGGCCGGGTGCAGTGGCTCACACCTATAATCCTAGCACTTTGGGAGGCCGAGGTGGGTGGATTACCTGAGGTCAGGAGTTCGAGACCAGCCTGACCAACATGGTGACACCCCGTCTTTATTAAAAACACAAAAAACATTAGCTAGGCTTGGTGGCACATGCCTGTAATCCCAACTACTTGGGAGGCTGAGGCAGGAGAATCACTTGAACCCACCAGGCAGAGATTGCGGTGAGACAAGATGGTGCCACTGCACTCCAGCCTGGGTGGCGTGGGACTCCATCTCAAAAAAAAAAAAAAAATCTGCAGAGGGAAGTTAGTGCCTTACAGAGGGCTTCTGACTAGGAAGCCCCGGGACTGCGGCCGACCCCTTCCTCTCCCTGCCTCACCCCTGCAGAAGGACCTGCAGAAAAAGCTGGAAGGGGTGGGAGGGTGTGTGGGGGCTATGCAGGTTCCACACCTGGTCTTTGGCACCCTCTACAGGACAGTTCCATTCCCACACCTGGGCTTTGGACAACTGAATCCTATGCCTTTTCCCACCCATGGAGCCTGGCCCCAGAAGTTCTCAGGACTTACCCACCATCTACCATGCCACACAGCAAGTGTCCTCAGAGTCTGCAGACCAGAAACACCTCCCTCGTGTCTCAGCACTGGGCCACCTGCTGAAACCCCGGACTGCCTGCCCCATTGTTTGAGACCTAGTCAGGCCCTGGCTCCAAAAGTCCTCTTGGACTGCCGCTGGTCCCCAGGGTCTCTCCTGACCGCACCTCAGTCCCGGGGCTCCCATGCTGCTGAGCCCCAAACCCCACGCCCCGACCCAGCTCTGGCTCCTTCACAGGAGCCCTGCTGACCTTTCCTAAGGGAGGTGTTTTCCTGAGGACAGGGTCTAGGTTTCCACCTGCTCCTCGGACTAGGGGCCCTCAGAGGGCCAGGCCTGGGCTTCTGCCTCCTCCCTCAGGCTCGTGTTTCTCTGCAAATATGGCTTGTGTGTCCTCCTTCCTCTCAGACTGGGGGCCCTGAGGACTGGGCCTGAGTCTCCCTTTCCCCCTTCAGAATGGGGCTCCCTGAGGACTGATCCATGGCCTCTCCGCGTCCCCTCCACCTGGCTGTTGATCTCCAACACTTCCACCTCCAGTCCTATTCTGCACAGCTCTCCCCAACGCTGGGGGCTCAAAGGCCTCTGCAGCCTTCCCCAGGGCTGGGGCTTGGGGAGGGCTTCCTCAGGCGCTGCCCCAGAGTCAGGCTGCACATTGGCTTGGAGGACAGGCCTTTCCTCTGGGACTGTGAGGCCCAGAGTGCCCACCCGGATCTGCACCTCTGACCTCACAAAGGGCTGCTTCAGAACTCGGTCTCCATGGCACCGCTGGCCAGACGAGGGATGTTATTTTGGGCAGTGTATCCGGACTTGGCTCAAGTGGCACCAGCCAAACCCCAGCCTTACTGACCTCTCCCCTAGAGGAGCAGGAGCAGTGCTTGAGGCCGCCCTGGGAGGGCTGAGAGGCAGGCTCTGGACTGGGGACACAGGGATAGCCGAGCCCCAGTTGGGAGTGGAAGCTGAGCCAGGGACCGTCTTGGAGGAACAAGATCAAGATGCACTTTAACTGAGAAGCCCCCAAGGCAGAGGCTGAGAATCAGAAGGCATTTCAGCAGAGTGAGTGGGGCTCCAGGCAGGGTGGATGGGGCGGCCTCCTCAGTGCCCAGATCCAGAAGGGCCATTCCCTTGGTACCACACAGGGAGGAGGTGACTGTGGGATTGTTTGGGGAAGGAGCGCCGGCTGGGAGTGGAAGGCCTGGCTTTCTGGCTCTGGTGCAGTCCTGTGTTGCTGTGTCACACAGGCACACACACCCTCTCTCTGAGCCTCAGTTTCCTTACCTGTATATTGGTTGTTGGGAGGACCAGCGGTAGAGCAGAGATGGCAGGGATGCGCTGGGCTGGGCTGTCAGCAGACCATGGGAGTGGGACGAGGAGAGAGCGGAAGACCACCGGCCGTGGACCACAGCGGGAGGAGTGCAGGCCAGAGATGGGTCAGCTGCCAGCTTGCTGGAGTTGTTCCTCCCGCGGAGTCCCCTCCTGCGGGGCTAGAGCTGGGGCTGGAGGGTTTCTGCAGTCAGGGCTGGGGATAAGAGTCTGTGCTGCAGCTAGAGGGAACTGAGTTAGAGAATGAGGAGGACAGACAGGGTGAGGGGACTTGGGGCTACCTTCATGTTGTCAATTAGAGAGAAAGATAGGAGTACAAAGGGGAATTTTTAGGCAAGGTACAGGGTGAAATGAGTTTTCAGAGCCTCATCCTATGTGTTCACCTTCTGTGTGTGTGTGTGTGTGTGCGTGCGCGTGTGTGCATATCTGTGTGTGTGCAGGTCCTGGACAGTCACAGTTTAAGTTAGCAGCAAGTGGGCTTGAGGTTAAATGTATAGCACGCAAATACGAGGCTGGAGCCACTGAGCAGAGGCTGAGGGCATCTCCACAGTCCAAAGCCGGGCTGCAGACAGGGAAGGTCTGGAGGAGCGCTGGAGGGTCTGGCCTGGGGTTGGGGTCCTGGGACCAGCATGGGTGGGTGGGGCTCCAGGGCGTCGCCTCATTGGCTGAGCACTGCTCCTCCCTCCCTGTTGCTTGGCTGGGTTAAGGGAGTGGCACTAGTAGGAGCTGCCCCAGGGCTTCTCCCCTGGGGGCCAAGGTCTGATAGAAGTGTGGGGCCAAGTTCTGTGTGCTCCAGCCATGGTGACCTCTCTTTGGCTCCTCAGCATCTACAAATCTGAAAGACAAAACATGGTTCAAACATCCAGGCACAGGCGGTAAGTACCCAACCCCCTTCTCCCCCTCTAGCTCCCTGTCCTCCACCCAGCCCACTTCAGTGCCCTTCCTGCTCCACCCTCAGCCTCTTCCTTGGGGTAGCTGTCCCCCCTCTACCTCCTCCTCCCCACCCACCCACTCGCCTCTGAGGTCCCAGAAGAAGAGCATCTTACACCTGTTGCCTGGGCTGGGTCCTGGGGTGAGGGGAGGCTCAGAAAGCCTTGGATGAGGGTCAAGGCATGCACGTGGCCTTCAACTCAACCGAACTCAGCACCTCTCACCCTCTCAGGCTCCGTTGTCTTTGGGGTGAACAAGAAACAGTCCTTGCAGTGGCCAAGGCCCTGCCTATGTAGTCCTTGTTAGCTTTCTGGCCTCCCCACTCCAGCCCCCTGCTTTCCCTCCTCCAGCCACACTGAGCCACACTGAGTTTCTTTTCTGGGTGTTTTTTTTTTTTTTTTTTTTTAGACAGAATCCAACTCTGTCCCCCAGGCTGGAGTGCAATGGCGCCATCTTGGCTCACTGCAACCTCCGTGTCCCGCGTTCAAGCGATTCTCTTGCCTCAGCCTCCTGAGGAGCTGGGATTACAGGATTATAGACACATACTACCACGTCCAGCTAATTTTTTTTTTTTTTTTTTTGTATTTTTAGTAGAAATGGGGTTTCGCCATGTTGGCCAGGCTGCTCTTGAACTTCTGACCTCAGGTGATCCACCCGCCTCGGTCTCCCAAAAGGTTGGGATTACAGGCGTGAGCCACTGCACCCGGCCTCACACTGACTTTCTTTGCTTTCTTCAAATATCCTGGGAGTCCTCTGATGACTATTCCCTCCACCTGAGGGGCTTTCTGCAGTTAACATACAGCCCACTCTCATCTCCTTCATGGCTTTGCTCCAACGCCACCTTCTCAACAAGGATTACTCTGACTGCCCTATTTGAAATCACACCCCATGTCCAGCCCCTGCACTCCCAATTCCCCTCTCCTTGCTCTGTTTTTTCCATACAAGCTGGTACCTTCTCTTATACAAATGTACTTGCTTATTACACTTCATTGCTGTCAGCTCCACACGAGCAGGGATATTGGCCTGTTGTACACTTGGAAGGAGAGAACGAATACTGCCCCTCTGTTGACATCACTGCCTCCAGCCTATGTCTCTCTCCAGGGCTTTAGATCCTGTTTCTAGAGACCCACTGGTGTCTCACAGGCAACTCAGCTCCTAGATGGAAACGGCCTCCTCCGCCCCCTGCAAGTTCACTCCTCCTGTGCTCTTGGCTCAGTCAGGGGCCCCCTTCTCCTCAGTTGCTCAAGCCAGAAGTCCAGGTCATATCCTTGATACTTCCCTCTCCCCCATGTCTCATATCCAGTCACCAATCTCCTAAAATATCTAGAATGTGCACAGCTTCCACCATTCTTTCTATCACCAGCCTACTCCCCCATGGCCATGTCAGGCCACCACCCGCCCATTCTTCAAAACCTCCTTCAGGCCCCACCTCCCACGTCTCCCCTGAGCCTCCCCAAGTCCCAGGCTGCTTCTCTCTGCTGGTGTTGCCATTACCCATCTCTTCCATTAAACAGAGTGACCCCAGGGTGGAGAGCGGGTTTTAACTTTGTATTTCTGGTGCTTGACTCGTAAGTAGGTGCTCAACAAAAAAAAATTTTTTTTTTCTTTTTTGAGACAGAGTCTTGCTCTGTTGCCCAGGCTGGAGTGCAGTGGTGCGATCTCGGCTCACTGCAACTTCTGCTTCTTGGGTTCAAGTGATTCTCACGTCTCAGCCCCCCTAGCTGGGAATACAGGTACCTGCCACCAAGCCCAGCTATTTTTTTTTTATTTTTAGTGGAAATGGGATTTTGCCATGTTGGCCAGGCTGGTCTTGAACTCCTGACCTCAAGTGATCCACCTGCCTTGGCCTCCCAAAGTGTTGGGATTACAGGCGTGAGCCACCATGCCTGGACAACAAATGTTTGTTGAATGAAGAAATGTTGGTTAGCAGGTTGAATTGTTGGCTTGTGGTTAGTTGGATAGTTTATGGTTGACTGGTTGATTCGATAATTAAATGAGCTAATAGCTGGTTAACAGGAGAGTCAGTTAGTTGGTTTTTGATAGATTAGTCAAAGGGTTAGTAAGCCACCGGGCGTGGTGGCTCACACCTGAATTCCCAGCACCTTGGGAGGCTGAGGCGGGAGGATTGCTTGAGTCCAGGAGTTTGGGACCAGCTTGGGCAACATGGCAAAACCCCATCTCTACAAAAAATAGAAAAAAAATAGCCGGGCATGGTGGCGTGCTCCTGTAGTCCCCGCTACTTGGGAGGCTGAGGTGGCAGGATCGCTTGAACCCTGGGAAGTCTAGGCTGCAGTGAGCTGGGACTGTGCCACTGCACTCCAGCCTGGGCGACAGAGTGAGACCCTGTCTCAAAAAAGGAAAGAAAAAGAAAATAAACAAGCGTTAGTGAGTTGTTAGCTATTTAGTTCCTTGGTTAGCAGATGACTTAGGGGATCTGGTTGGCTGTCAGTTCCTTGCTTTGTAGGCTGGCTTTCTTGGGCTGCTCTTCTTAGTCTGTACCCTCTTCTTGAGCTCTGTCGTCTGTGTCCATGGCTCAGAGGACCATCCGTGATTTGCTGACCTCCACATGTGTCTGTAAGTGAGACCACATGACCAGCTGCCTCCTCACTGGCCATCCCACCCAGGTGTCCAGCGGGCTTCTCACACTCAGCATGTCCAGAAAGGGCCTCCTCGTCCGTTCTCCCGCGGCTTCTCTGCTGCGCCCCACACTAGTCATTCCGCTGCCCTAGCCAGGACCTGAGGGTGTCGCTGAGCTGCCCCGCTCCCTTCCCTCTCTAACCGAACACCAATCCTGTCAGCTTGACTGTGCTCTTGTGGCCGTTGGCACTGCCATCTCTGTGGCGCAGGCTGCCACCACTTCTCTACTCGTCTGTGGAGAAGCTGATGCTCACCCTGCCTTAACTCCACTTCCTCCATCCTGGCCTCCACAGGGGAGGCAGCTCTCTTGCTGAAATCCTCCAGTTGGCCCATGGCCCTCTGGTAGAGTTCAGACTCCCTAAAGTGGGCCATGGGGCCTTCTGCTACCTGGCCCTGGCCCCTCTCTGCCCATCTCATACCACCTCCACTCCTCTGTGGCCAGCCCATTCCTGCACATTGGATACTGCCTTAGCTGCAGGCCTTTGCACACGGCAGTCCTATGCCCAGAATGATCCCTGCCTCCCTGGAGGCTCCTTTACCCGCCAGCCTTCTTTTCTTGACCTAGATTTCCCTTTCTCTGGGAGCCTCCTACCCCCTCCTCTAGGCCATTCACTTCCAGCTGGGTCCCCCTCTTCCAGCTAGGGCAGTGCTCATCACACTGCACAGTAATTGCTCAATCGATTGCTTTTCTTCCCACGGGCTGGGATCATACCAGTGTCCCTTACTGCAGTGCCTGAACATTCTAGGCGTAGTAGATTCAAGAAATCTTGAGTTCATTGGCTGGTCGGTGGTTATCTGTTGCTTACTGTGTCTTGCCTGCTGTATGGTGATGAGGAAGGAGCCAGGCTTCCAGGATTCTCTTGGTGTTCTTGGCTTTCTGCTCTGTCCACTTCTCTCCCCTCTTCTGTGGTTGCCTCCAACACTGGAGCTGGGGTTAGATGGGGGCCAGTGGAGGGTCACCTCACCCTGCTAGGGAGAGCAGCAGCACTCCTCGGGACTCCTAAATTCCCCTGGTCTCACAGCAGCAAAAAGTAAGCAGAGGGAATGAGAGATGTCCAGGCATGGAATAAAACATCCTCCACTTTTCAGCTGAGACCCTCTGTTCATAGCTCACCCATCCCAGTCCTTGCTCTATTCCTTGCCCCAGAAAAACAAAACCAGGGATGAATAGATGGAGGGGGATGCAGAGTTGCGTGGATAATCCATTGGTCCCCATCCAACTCCAGCTCCCATGCAGCATCGTATAGGGGTCTCATTATCCCATGGCCAGCCTCCTCAGCCCTGAAGAAGAGACCCTGCCAAGGCAAGCAACAGCCCAAAGACAGTCCTGGGAAGGTACCATAGAAGCAGGGCAGAGGTGGACAGAGCAGGAAACCCAGAACACCAAGGGAATCCTGGAAGCCTGGCTCCTTTCTCATCAGCACACAGCAGGCAACGCCCAGCCAATGAACCAAAGATTTATTGAATCTACTATGCCTACTGTGTTCAGGCACTGCAGTGAAGGAAACTGGTATGATCCCAGCCCTTAGGAAGAAAAACAGTTAATTAATCAAGCTTTTTTTTTTTTTTTTTTTTGAGACAGGGTCTCACTCTGTCACCCATGCTGGAGTGCAGTGGTGTGATCTCAGTTCACTGCAACCTCTGCCTTCCAGGCTCAAGCAATCTTCTCACCTCAGCCTCCCCAGTAGCTGGGACCACAGGCATGCACCACCACACCTGATTAATTTTTTTTTTTTATAGAGATAAGGTTTTGTCGTGCTGCCCAGGCTGGTCTTGAACTCCTGGGCTCAAGTGATCAGCTTGCCTCAGCTAGTCCTGGGATTACAGGCGTGAGCCACTGTGCCTGGCCTAATTGAGCAATTACTTTGCAGTGTGATGAGCATTGCCCCAGCTGAAAGAGTGGGCACCATGGGGCATGTGGAGGAAGTGAATGGCCTAGAGGAGGGGGTAGGCCGCTCTCCCAGAGAAAGGGAAATTTAGGTCAAGGAAAGAAGGCTGGCAGGTAAAGGAGCCTCTGGGGACGCAGGGGACCATTTTGGGCGTAGGACTGGCATGTGCAAAGACCTGCAGCTAAGGCAGTACGTGATGTGCAAGGATGGGCTGGCCAGAGGAGTTGAGGGGCTGGTGTCAGCTTCTGGGCATGCAGACAGTGAGAGAGCAGAGTGACTAGTCTAAACAAGCACTAAGGCCACACTTAGAGGTATCTGTATCCCTCTTCTTCCCCCCCACTTTATTTCTTTTTTTGAGACGGAGTCTCCCTCTTGTTGCCCAGGGTGGAATGCAGTGGTGAGATCTTGGCTCACCGCAATCTCCGCCTCCCGTGTTCAAGCGATTCTCCTGCCTTAGCCTCTGAAGTAGCTGGGATCACAGGCATGTGCCACCATGCCTGGCTTATTTTGTATTTTTTAGTAGAGATGGGGTTTCTCCATGTTGGTCAGGCTGGTCTCGAACTCCCCACCTCAGGTGATCTGCCCACCTTGGCATCCCAAAGTGCTGGGATTATAGGCATAAGCCACTGGGCCCAGCCCCTCTTCTTCCTCTTTATCCTCCATCCCCACCCCACCACCTTCCCCAAACTCCAGTCCTATACCTCTCCCTATACGCAGATTTGGGACCTGTTACTGTTTCATCTACCTGTCCATCTAATTGTGCACTTCACTAAATATATATTAAGTGCCAGGCACTTTGGGAAGCTTTGAGGATCTAGTTGAGAGTAAGACAGATTCCCCAGTTTTCACTCATTCAACAAATATTTATTGTACATCTACTATGGCCTGGCATTGTGCTAGGCACTGAAGATACACCAGGAAGTAAGATCCAGTCCTTCCTTTTCTCCCTCCCTCTCTCTTGATCATTCATTCATTCACTCACTCTCTCACAAACCTCTGTTTGCACTGACCTGGTTGCAGAGCCTGGTGCATTTTGCTGACCCCTTCATCTTTGACAGAACCTGGTACATGTTTCAGCGCTCAGTGCTGTTTATAGAGCTCGGCAGCAGACTTTGTCACACCTCATGCTGTTTGTAGAGTGCCTCACTGTTGCCAGGCCCTGGCCTGTGACCCTAAAGTTCTGGCTCTAGCAGATAGGCAGACAGACAGATGGATAGACATAGACAACTGAGCTCCACTTTCCAGTCTGCTCTCTCCTACCCTGCTTTTTCCCAGAGACTTGTTGGCATCGTGGATCGCACTTTCAGCTCCCCACCTGCCCCTCTGCAAAGTGGTTTCATTAGTGTGCCATTTTTACTGGTCCAGTCCCAACTAGAAGGAGCATGGCCTGGCTGTCTACCCCGTTCCTCTCCATGTCCCCATGGCTCTCAAGTGTCTCCAATTCCAGCTGTCCCAGCTGCCCTGGGCAAGAGGAGGTGTGTGTGGTGAGGCTGCCGGGTTACCCATTAACTCAGTTGTGAGTTGAAGAGCTGATGGGCAGCAGGCAGACTTGAGTCTCCTTTCTGTCCATGGGCTCGGGTCACTGTCTCAGGTCCACCCGTGGCTCCAAAATGGTCTCCTGGTCCGTGACAGCAAAGATCCAGGAAATACTGCAGAAGAAGATGGTGCGAGAGTTCCTGGCCGAGTTCATGAGCACGTATGTCATGATGGTGAGTGGGTGGGCAGCACGAAGTGGGTGGGGCTCCACCAGGGCCATCCATGACCCCCTCCCCATGCTGACCCTATAAGTCACATTGTCCATTCCTTGCCTCTGAGCTGGGAGCCAGGGGAAGCAGCAGAGGAAAGTAAAGAGGTGGGGGGCCTTTCTCATCAAGTCTATTTGTTTTTTTTTGGGTTTTTTTTGTTTTTTTTTTTTTTTTGAGACGGAGTCTCGCTCTGTCGCCCAGGCTGGAGTGCAGTGGCCGGATCTCAGCTCACTGCAAGCTCCGCCTCCCGGGTTTACGCCATTCTCCTGCCTCAGCCTCCCGAGTAGCTGGGACTACAGGCGCCCGCCACCTCGCCCGGCTAGATTTTTGTATTTTTTAGTAGAGACGGGGTTTCACCGTGTTAGCCAAGATGGTCTCGATCTCCTGACCTCGTGATCCGCCCGTCTCAGCCTCCCAAAGTGCTGGGATTACAGGCGTGAGCCACCGCGCCCGGCCTATCAAGTCTATTTGGACAGAAAGGCTCATAATATGTGGGGGTCGAATGAAACCATGCACTGGGGTATCAGGGGCATGGCTGGAAATGGGGAGAAGGGAAACCCAGGGTGAAGACATTGAAGAGGCCCAGGTGCAGTGGCTCATGCCTGTAATCCCAGCACTTTGGGAGGCTGAGGCAGGTGGATCACCTGAGGTCAGGAGTTTGAAACCTGCCTGGCCAACATGGTGAAACCCCGTCTCTACTAAAAATACAAAAATTAGCTGGGCATGGTGGTGGACGCCTGTAATCTCAGCTATTCGGAGGCTGAGGCAGGAGAATCACTTGAACCTAGAAGGCAGAGGTTGGAGTGAGCTGAAATCACATCATTGCACTCCAGTCTGGGCGACAGGAGCGAAATTCTGTCTCAAAAAAAAAAAAAAGATAGATAGATATTGGCCGGGCGCGGTGGCTCAAGCCTGTAATCCCAGCACTTTGGGAGGCCGAGACAGGCGGATCATGAGGTCAGGAGATCGAGACCATCCTGGCTAACACAGTGAAACCCCGTCTCTACTAAAAAATACAAAAAACTAGCCGGGCGAGGTGGCGGGCACCTGTAGTCCCAGCTACTCGGGAGGCTGAGGCAGGAGAATGGCGTAAACCTGGGAGGCGGAGCTTGCAGTGACCTGAGATCCAGCCACTGCACTCCAGCCTGGGCGACAGAGCGAGACTCCACCTCAAAAAAAAGAAAAAAAAGAAAGAGAGATATTGAAGAGAAACTTGATGATCAGCTTCTGAGAATGAATCCAGAGGGCACTGGGCGATGTTGAAGGCTGGCAAGCAGGGGAGTGACATGATCAGATTTGGATTTTAAAGGTAATTTTGGGTGCAGTGTGGAGCAAAAGCAGGACAGGCACGGCTGGCAAGAGGGAATCAGTTAAGAGGCTGTTTCTGATCTGGGACAGAGAGAGGGTGATGACTGGTCTGGGGTTGGAGAAGAAAGCACGTGTTTGAGAGGGCTGTGGAAGATGGAACTGGGGAGACTCTGCCAGCAGAAGATGTGGGCAAAGCGCTGATGAGCTGTTCTGGAGCACGGGGCCCAGCACAGGGTGACAGGCAAGATGCCCATGGGGAAATCCAGGAGATAGTTAAATACAGGCAAGGGGCTGGAGCTCAGGAGAGGCTTGGTCTGGAAGGAAAAAGTTGAAGTTCATCATAACACAGGTGGTGATTGTCGACATTGTCCAGAGAGAGTGTACAGAAAAAGGATGGTTTGAGGACAGAGCCCTGAGGAATGAAGAGGTGCACGAAAAGGAGCCTGAAAAGGAATGGTCAGAGAGGTGGGAGGAGACCCAGAGCAGACTGCATGACAGAGGGGGGCAGTGGTTCCACCAGGAAGAAGCTGTCAGCAGATGGCCACGCAAGGTGAGCACTGGCAAGAGGCCTTAGGGTTTGGCAACGTGGAGGCTGCTGGTAACCTTGACAAGGGCTCTTCTTTAGTGTGTGACTGGGACAGAATCCAGACTGCAGGCGGGATGTGAGGTTGCTCCCTCTCCACCTGCTTCAGCCCTGCCACTTACCACAGCGAGCCTCTGCCCTTAACACGACTGTAGCCATGTTTACTGCACCTTATGCAGGGTCCAGGTCTAGAAAAAGAAGGGGCAGCCTCTGGGAAGGGAAGCAAAGGCAGCCAGGTGCATGCTAGAGGAAGGTGGGGTGAGAGAGAATGTTTGTGTGTGTGGTAGCGCCCATGGATCTCAAGGGAGAGAGGAAATCAGAACACCAGGGTTCTTAGCCTGACCCTGCCACTGAGTCACCGGTTGGCCTTGGGCAGGTCTCTCCCTGGCTTAAAGCCTGACTTCTCACTTATATTGTGTAGAATTAGGCCTTCATGGGCTTTGGAGCTGTGTTTGAATCCTAGCTCTGTTATCTTCTAGCTGTGTGACCATCCACAAGTATCTTAACTGTTCACAAATTTACCTTTCTTGTTTTTGAGACAGGGTCTCACTCTGTCTCCTAGGATGGAGTGCAGTGGCAAATCTCGGCTCACTGCAGCCTCCACCTCCCATACTCACGTGACTCTCTTGCCTCAGCCTCCTGAGTAGCTGGGACTACAGGCTCGTACCACTGTGCTCAGCTAAGTTTTCTATTTTTAGTAGAGATGGGGTTTCAGCCTGGGTTGGCCAGGCTGGTCTCGAACTCCTAAATTCAGGTGACCTGCCTGCCTCGGCCTCCCAAAGTGCTGGCATTGCTGGCGTGAGTCACCTCGCCCGGCCCACAGCTTTAGCTTCCTTATTGGTTAACAGGAACACTAACACCAAGCTGGAGGACTTGTGTGAAGAATGCCAAGTCTCAGCACCCAGTACGCATGTGGTACCTATGTATTGGTTTCTTGTTATTAGGACAGGTGCTCTCAGCTGCTCTCTCCTCTCTGCCTCTGGCCCTCCCCTGCTCCTCTCTTACCTCCCCACCTGCTTGGCTCCTGAGCTGTGAGGACAGCAGCTGGATCCTGTCCCTCCTTAATCCAGGGCAAAGTAATTCACTTATCACAAGACATTCCAGTCCCATGAGGGCTGTTAACCCTTGGAACCTCGGAGGCAGGAGGGTGCATCCTCTGAGAGCTGTTAGGGAAATAGGCACCGCCCACATGCTTGATACCTGCCCACATCTCTGTTTCTCTTCCTTTTATTGAGATTTTCATTGAGCACCTAATGCATCCCGGGCTCTGTGATGGGAAGCACCTTACATGAAGCATCTTCCCAAATCCTCGCAATAGCCCTGTGAAGTAGGTACTATTATTATCCCAGTTTCACAGATGGGAAAACTGAGTCTCCTTGAGACTAAGCCTCTTGCCCAAGGTCACACTTTAAGTCAAGATTAAATCCAGTGCAGTCTAATATCACAGTCTTTTTTTTTTTTTTTTGAGATACAGTCTTGCTTTGTCATAGTGGTGCGATCTCGGCTCACTGCAACCTCCACCTCCCGGGTTCAAGCGATTCTTGTGCCTCAGCCTCTGGAGTAGCTGGAATTACAGGTGCATGCCACCATGCCCAGCCGATTTTTGTATTTTTAGGAGGGATGAGGTTTCATCATGTTGTCAAGGCTGGTCTTGAACTCCTGACCTCAAGTGATCCTCCCGCCTTGGCCACCCAAAGTGCTGAGATGACAGGCGTGAGTCACCGTGCCTGGCCTAATATCACAGTCTTGACCCTTAACCTCTATGCTCCGTCCCTTAGCTTAAATATGGCCAGCTTTTCAAGACTCTGGCTTGTTGATGCTCCCCCAGCCAGGGTAAGGTCCTCATTTTCAGGTAGTTCAAGACGCCTCTCTCGGCCTCAGTTTCCCCATCTATAGAGTGGGAGAAAAATTCTTGCTGTGCAGATTTGCTGTGAGAATTGAAGACAGTAGCACTTTAAAAGAACTTTGTGAGGTGAAAGCCTATGTCGGACATTGTGTTGTTGTTATTTTTAGTTGCCAGGCTGTGCCAAGAAGTGAGGGCTTTTTTTTAAAAAAAATATATATAGGAATTTCAGTGAGTCACCAGGGTGAAGGTTTTGCCAAAAAGCTACTGTGACCTTGGCCCCATTTACTGCAGCCGGGACGAGGGAAGCGGACTGATCCATGTTGCAGCTTCCGGGGTGTTGCCTTGGAGCTGTGGCCTCCTGGCTGTCGGGGAGACTTGGATGGGCTGGGCCACATTCACTGATCAGGGAGAGGAGGGGCTGGAGCCATCTGGGCCCCGGAAAACCAGCCGTACTCGTGAGCCATGGGGCAAGGGTTGTAGATCACATGCTACAGGGGCCAAGAGAGCGGCAACTCAGGGCGGTGGGGACTTTGGCTGGCTGCTGAGTGCCAATCTGTGCGAGGCTGTAGCTGCTGCCACTCCAGCTGACTGTTGCCATGGAGGGTGGAATGCAGGTCAGTGTTGCCTGAGCTGCTCATTTTTCAAGAGAGACGGAAACTTCTGTTCTTCAAAACCAAGTTATCTAAATAAAACCTGTGCGCTGGATGAATTAGGGCATGACTTGCCAGTTGGCAACCCTGACACAGGGAATCATGTGGGGTTCATTCGCTCACCCATTTTTTTTTTTTTGAGACAGAGTCTCACCCTGTTGCCCAGGCTGGAGTGTAGTGGCACCATCTCGGCTCACTGCTCTGCCTCTTGGGTTCAAGCGATTCTCCTGCCTCAGCCTCCCAAGTAGCTGGGGTTACGGGTGTGTGCCACCACGCCTGGCTAATTTTTTGTATCTTTAGTAGAGATGGGGTTTCACCATGTTGGCCAGGCAGGTCTTGAACTCCTGACCTCATGATCTGCCCGCCTCGGCCTCCCAAAGTGCTGGGATTACACCACACCCGGCCTATGCTCATTCAGTATTTTTAGCACATGGTATTGGAGTGGGGGAAAGGCCATGGGGGCCCCTGTTTTCAGACCCTCCATGCCTGCTCCAGTCCCTCTACCTCCTTATCCCGCCAGCCTGTCAGCCTGTCCTGGCCTCACTCCCCACTGCACCCACATCTGTTCCTGCCCTCCCCTGCTATACGTTATCTTGGATCTGAAGCCAGCCCAGCTCTGGGTTCCCCTGCTTCTGTCCTGGGGCTTCTGAGGGACCCAGTGGGGCCTGCTCAACTGCCTCTCCCCCACCATATCTGGGCTATTTCACATGTTCTCAGACTTCCCCAAATCTGCTCTGTACTCTGACTTTATTTATTTATTTATTTATTTATTTATTTATTTATTTATTTATAAAAATAAGCAAATGGCTTGACCTGCTGCTTGACAGGTAAAATAATCAACACTTCCTGTGGTGTTCACCTCACCCTCTTGTCCCTCTCACCACCAGACCCATTAACCACCCATGTATCCACATATCACCCCTTGGCTGGGGTGGGGTCCTCTCCTTCCTTGGAGGACCCCTCCACTTCTGCACCAATCCAGCTGTCCAGCCTACTCAGGTACTTCACACTGTCACTTTATTCTCTCCTTTATCTTCAGCCTGTCCCTCTCTCAGCCTATAAACATACCGAAGTTTCTCCACTGAAAACAACACAAAACGAAACCTCCCTCCCCTCACCCTGTCAGCCCCTTCGCGGATCCTGTTCTCTCTCCCCTGCTCCTCAGGCGAGTTCTCAAAGAGGAGTCTACACTGGTGCCTTTCAACTCTTTGCTGCCACCTCCTCACCTCTCCAGCTCTGGAACCAGGCTTCTGCCTCCACAGCTGGATGACGCAGTGCTCACCATGTTCCTAATGACTGCTGGATTGTCACATTAAAAAAAAAGCATGCTTTCTAGGCCCGTACGCACTTGACCTAGAAGCTCCATGCGACAGTGTGGACCGCACCTTCCTTGGGAAACTCTGTTTCTCCTCGGCATCCATGGCACATTCTCTCTCTGTTCCTCTCCCATTTCAACACCTGCTTCACAGTTGAGGTTTCCAGCGTCCACCCATGAGTGTGATGTGTGGCTCTACAGGCAGGCCCAGCTACCTTTTTTTTTTTTTTTTTTTTTTTTTATAAGGAGTCTTGCTCTGTCATCCAGGCTTGAGTGCAGTGGCTCGATCTTGGCTGACTGCAACCTCCGCCTCCCGGGTTCAAGCAATTCTCCTGTCTCAGCCTTCTGAGTAGCTGGGATTACAGGCGAGTGCCACCACGCCTGGCTAATTTGTGTATTATTAGTAGAGAAAGGGTTTTGTCATGCTGGTCTTGAACTCCTAACCCAAAGTGATCTGTCCACCTCGGCCTCCCAAAGTGCTGGGATTGCAGGCGTGAGCCACCGCGCCTGGCCTGGTCTGCCTTCTTACCCTGTACCCCTCCTGGGGCCTTCTCCACTGACGGCTTTGACTTCGGCCCTCATGTCCACAATTCTCCAGGTTTTCTCTTTCATCAACGCTAGAACAAAGCTCTCCAGGGGAAATACAATACAAGCCATCTATATAATTTAAATTTTTCTAGTATCCACACTGAAAAGGTAAAAAGCAACAGGTGAAATTAATTTTAATAATTAACCCATATATCCAAAATCCTATTTCAAGATGTAGTCAGTGTAAAATTATTAGGATATTCTGGCCAGGCATGGTGGCTCAAACCTGTAATCCCAGCACTCTGGGAGGCTGAGGTGAGAGGATTACTTGAGGCCAGGAGCTCGAGACCAGCCTGGGCAACATAGTGAAACCTCATCTCTACACAAAATAAATTGAAAGGCCGGGCGCGGTGACTCACGCCTGTAATCCCAGCACTTTGGGAGGCTGAGGCGGGTGGATCACAAGGTCAGGATATCGAGACCATCCTGGCTAACACGGTGAAACCCCATCTCTACTAAACCTACAAAAAATTAGCCGGGCGTAGTGGCAGGTGCCTATAGTCCCAGCTGCTCAGGAGGCTGAGGCACGAGAATGGCGTGAACCCGGGAAGCAGAGCTTGCGGTGAGTGGGAGATTGCGCCACTGCACTCTAGAGACTTTGTCTCAAAAAATAAATAAATAGAAAAAATTAGCTGAGGCCCGGCACAGTGGCTCATGCCTGTAATCCCAGCACTTTGGGAGGCTGACGCAGGCGATCATCTGAGGTCAGGTGTTTGAGACTAGCCTGGCCAACATGGTGAAACCCTGTCTCTACTAAAAATACAACAAAATAGCTGGGCGTGGTGGCATGCACCTATAACCTCAACTACTTGGGAGGCTGAGGCAGGGGAATCACTTGAACCAGGGAGTTAGAGGTTGCAGTGAGCCGAGATCGCACCACTGCACTCTAGCTTGGGCAACAGAGCAAGACTCTGTCTCAAAAAAAAAAAAAAAAAAAAAAAAAAAAAAAATTGGCTGGGTGCCGTGGCACATGCCCATAGTCCCAACTACTTGGGAGGCTGAGGTGGGAGGATCATTTGAACCCAGGAGATGGAGGGTGCAATGAGCCCTGGTCACGGCACTGCACTCCAGCCTGGATGATAGAGCAAAACCCTGTCTCAAAAATCAAACAAACAAACAAAAACAGAGGCACGAGAGAGTAAGGCATGCGTGGAGCAGCGCAGTTGTTTGGTTTAAGGCCATCTGGCATAGGTAACTGCCTGGATTTAGTCCTGGCTCACCATGTACAGGCTGTGTGACCTTGGACAAGCCATTCAAGTTCTCTAAGCTTCAGGTTACTCAGCTGTCAAGTAGGGGAGAATAATAGTACCTAACTCATAACATTGGCATGTAAGGGTTAAAGGAGGTGATCAGTATAACTTGCTGGCATGTAGGCAGTGCTCATTAAATGGTTATTATTATTTAGTAGCAATACTATTGCTGAATGGAAAGAATACTGGGGCAGATATGAAACAGGCAGAAAGGATGAAATTATGCAGGGTCTTAAATGGTGGCCTACTGAGTTTGGACTTCATCCTAGAAGTGGAGGGGAGCCAGTGAGTGAGCCCGGGGAAGACGCGATGGGGTTTTTGTTAGGAAGGTCACTCTGGCTGCAAGGAGGAGGCTGGGTGAGGTTTGGGGAGAATGTAAGCAGAGCTGATTGGGTGTTGGGGAGGATAGCGAGGAAGCTCCCATTTGCAACATCTGAGTTTCTGGCTCTGCCAACGGGGATGGGGAACATAGGGTGAGGAGCAGGTGTGCTGTGAGATGGCGAACCTTCAACAGAACCTGAGATGCCCGTGAAACACCAGGAGAGTTCCAGTGGGGATTTGCAAATAGGGATCTGGCTTGACAGTGGAGATGATGGGAATTTTACTGCATCAAGCATAGCTGAAGCTGTTGATGTGGTAAAACCATGCCTGAAAAGACCTTTGGAAAATCAGGAGGTTGCTGGAGCCCTTGGAGAGAGCTTTGGTGTCTGTGACATGTGGAAGTGGAAGCCAGATTGACGAGGGGGTGCGAGGGAAGGGGTGAAGCAGCTGGACAGTGTGTTCTCTCATGCAGCCTGACTGAAACAGGGAGGGGGCATCCTGGAGAAGGACACTGGGCAGGGGTGGGACAGTTTGCTGGGAAGGATGAGATTCCAGTCTGTGGAAGCCAATCAATGGGAGGATGGAAGGTACTGGGGAGATGGAGGCCTCTGCAGAGGGAGAGGATAGCACAGAGCTAGGGCTGAAGGGAACAGTGGTTCCAGACTGAGGCTAATGGGCCTGAAGGTACGCCCCTTCCCCTGTGAAGGCGGTGTCATCTGAGGAGCCGTGAGGGATGGGCAAGCAGCAGCAGCTTGGAATGCTGCCTGAGGTCAGTGGAAATGAAGCTGAGGGCAAGACAGTTAGGACCCCACTGTTCCAGCATTGCAGAGGTTGGGGGGGAGGGTGTGTGTGTGTGTGTGTATGCAGGGAGGGGTTCCTGGCAGAGTCAGTCATGGATGGATTTGGAGGTCCCTTAAAGAAACTTCCTTCAGGCCAAACTGAAGTGTGAGGGACTCTGAGAGGGTGCAATCCACATCAGCCATCCCCTCCTCGCAGCCCTGCCTTACCCCAAAACTTCAGGTGGGCCTGGGGCTGAGGTGCTTGGATGTCTGTCGTAAGAGCTTCTGACTGCCGCTCCACCTGGCTCTCAGTGGCTCAGGTCTGAGAGGCCTCAGCAGGGGCAAGGAGAGGAGGCAGTAAGGAGGGAAGGCTCTGGAGGAAGAGGGCGTGCCAGAGGATTTTCGAGGCAATGCCAGGGAGGCCCAGGGCACGGGGGTGAGGAGCTAGAACTGAGCTCCGAGCCCTCCTCTGAGGTTGGGGCTTCTGGGCAGGCAGCTCCCTTAGAGGCCCTCCCTTGTAGGTGTTCGGCCTTGGTTCCGTGGCCCATATGGTTCTAAATAAAAAATACGGGAGCTACCTTGGTGTCAACTTGGGTTTTGGCTTCGGAGTCACCATGGGAGTGCACGTGGCAGGCCACATCTCTGGTGAGTGAGCCCAGCCCCTGCCGGACCGGGCAAGACGAGGTGTCCCCAATAGGCTCTTTCCTGCCTGCCTCAGTCAGCCCCTTCACCAGCACAGCCAGTGCCTGAGCCTGGCTACTGGGCAGCAGGAAGTCTCCTCTGAACCCCGTGCCTATGACTTGTCTGCCCCAGATTCTTCCCGGGTCCCCCTGACCCACCATTTTCACTGGCTGTGTCACCTTAGGCAAGTCATCACCTTCTCTGTTCCTCAGTTTCCTTAACAGTGAAACGAAGATGGTGGCCCCGGCCTCACTGGGTGGTTGTGAGGGCTCAGTGAGAGCGCTCTGTCACGGAGCATGTTCTTATACACACTAGCCATCGTTGTTCTCAATACTGTTTGTCACCGTTGTTTGTTTTGCTCTCCCACTTGCCTGCTGCCCGCAGGGGCCCACATGAACGCAGCTGTGACCTTCGCTAACTGTGCACTGGGCCGTGTGCCCTGGAGGAAGTTTCCGGTCTATGTGCTGGGGCAGTTCCTGGGCTCCTTCCTGGCAGCTGCCACCATCTACACCCTCTTCTACAGTGAGTGTCTTACCCAGGTGTCCGCCTCTGGCCTCAGCCGCCTCCTATGAAATATGGGCAGACTGGACCTCAGTGTCCTGATTAGTCAAAATAGCTGGGAGAAAAAAGCCCTGGAGCTCCCCCACCCTCTAACCTATAACCTCATTTCTGGGACCCGGTGGGGCTTAGCTGGGGGCAGGTTCACACGACAGTCTGTGTCTCCGCAGCGGCCATTCTCCACTTTTCGGGTGGACAGCTGATGGTGACCGGTCCCGTTGCTACAGCTGGCATTTTTGCCACCTACCTTCCTGATCACATGACACTGTGGCGGGGCTTCCTGAATGAGGTCAGTGGTCCGGGATGAGTACCCCTCCCCCTGCCCTCCACCCCTGAGGACGGAGCCAGCAGGGAGCCCCTCCGGATAGACAGGACAAGAACTCTGGATGGAGACTGTACCGAGACGTGTCTGTGCTGGTGGGCTTGGATCTGGGGCACTGCCGAGGTCCTGTGGCTTGGGGAGCGGCCCAGGTGAGCTGCCACAGCATCTGCTCCTTAGGCGTGGCTGACCGGGATGCTCCAGCTGTGTCTCTTCGCCATCACGGACCAGGAGAACAACCCAGCACTTCCAGGAACACAGGCGCTGGTGATAGGCATCCTCGTGGTCATCATTGGGGTGTCCCTCGGTATGAACACAGGATATGCCATCAACCCGTCCCGGGACCTGCCCCCTCGCGTCTTCACCTTCATTGCTGGCTGGGGCAAACAGGTCTTCAGGTACTGCCCCTGCCCAGGCCCATTCCTTCGAGTTTTTCTGTGGTTCTCCTGTGTGTTGAGGGGTGGCGGGTGATGTGAGGGGCAGCGCAGTAGGGTCCTGCTGAACCCTCAGGTGGCCTGGGGAGCAGGAGTGAGTCCCAACATTTCCCCAGGCCAGTACAGATACAGATCCTGCACCTGCACTGGGTGTCAACCCTGTCCCTGAATCGGGCTGAGGCTGACCAGGTCCCCGGGTTGGGGATGTTTCCTGGGGTAGCCTGGGGATGAATCCTCTGCTCAACCTGTCGTGGGCCGAGGTGGATGAGGGTGCTGTCCTGGGCATCAGCCCCCTCAGCAGGCCTCTGCCTCTTGCCTGCAGTGAAGGGGAGAACTGGTGGTGGGTGCCAGTGGTGGCACCACTTCTGGGTGCCTGTCTAGGTGGCATCATCTACCTGGTCTTCATTGGCTCCACCATCCCACGGGAACCCCTGAAATTGGAGGACTCTGTGGCGTACGAAGACTACGGGATAACCGTATTGCCCAAGATGGGATCTCACGAACCCACGATCTCTCCCCTCACCCCTGTCTCCGTGAGCCCTGCCAACAGATCTTCAGTCCACCCTGCCCCACCCTTACATGAATCCATGGCCCTAGAGCACTTCTAAGTAGAGATTATTTGTGATCCCATCCCTTCCCCAATAAAGCAAGGCTTGTCCCACAGCAGTAGCCCCACTTCCTGGGGGCCTCCTGTGGTCAGGCTTCCCTCCTGGGTTCTTCCAGGAGCTCTAGGGCTATGTCTTAGCCCAAGGTGTAGAGGTGAGGCGCCTTGAGTCTTTCACGCCCTGGGAACTGGGGTGCCCCAGGGGGAGAATGGGGAAGAGCTGACCTGTGCCCTCAGTAGCAACAGGGTGAGATGAAAAAATGACAGAAACAGAATGAGGGCTTTTCAGCATGGGGGAAGGAAGGGCTGTTTTGGGGAAAGGACCGTAGCTGGCTGCTGGGGGGCCGGCTTTGGAAATACTTTGAAGGGATCCTGAGATTGGACTCTAGACTCTCCCCTGGTTCTTCCTTTCCCCGAGTTCTGGCCAGTTATTGGACCAGACAAGGCAAGGCCCAAGAATGTAGATCAGAATTTTTTAGCCTTTTTTTCTTATTAGTGCCTTCCCTAGTAGTCTTCTAGATTTTTTTTCCTTAATCACATGAAATTTTAATATCACAGATATATCTATTTATGTGCTGTATATGTTCTGTGCTTTATACATAAAAAAGAGTTAAGATTTTTTTTTCACCTCTCCTTTTAAGAATCAGTTTTAGCCGGGCGCGGTGGCTCAAGCCTGTAATCCCAGCACTTTGGGAGGCCGAGACGGGCGGATCACGAGGTCAGGAGATCGAGACCATCCTGGCTAACACGGTGAAACCCCGTCTCTACTAAAAATACAAAAAAAAAACTAGCCGGGCGAGGTGGCGGGCGCCTGTAGTCCCAGCTACTCCGGAGGCTGAGGCAGGAGAATGGCGTAAACCCGGGAGGCGGAGCTTGCAGTGAGCTGAGATCCGGCCACTGCAGTCCAGCCCGGGCTACAGAGCAAGACTCCGTCTCAAAAAAAAAAAAAAAAAAAAAAAAAAAAAAAAAAAAAGAATCAGTTTTAATTCCCTTGAGAATGCTTGTTATAGATTGAAGGCTGGTTAGGGGTTGGGCTCCTCTTTCTTCTCCCTGGTGCCAGAGTGCTCCCACATGAAGGAATTGGAAAGGAAGATGCAAAGAGGGAAATCCTTAGAACACATGAAGACACAGGAAGAAGCCTCATAGAGCCCCAGGGAAGCAGCCGCAGAGGTTGGGTGGGGGTGGGGGGCCAGGATCTGCTGACCCTGGGGCCAGGCAGGAGTCACTCTGCTGCCTGGGGCTCAGAAAGCAGCATCACCCATGGTTCCTGTCATTGCTCATGCATTTTGCCTTTCAACAATTATTGTGCACCTACTGTGTGCACCTGCCTGGACACTGGGGATGTGCAGTGGGTGCGCTGTGCTCTGCCTTTGAGGGTTGCAGTTTAATGGGGAACAGGTAATTATAAGGAAGAAGGTGCGTGCAGAGTGGGAGGCTTGGAGGCTGTGGGGCTCGGGGTGGGGAAACTCACATCCAGCCTCTGGGTCAAGGCCAGGAGGCTTCCCAGGAGCAGACAGAGCAAGGTATGGTGGTGGGGGGTGTCTTTTTTGGGGCTGGGCGCTGCACTTTACAGTTTAAGGGGATGGGCAGAGGAAGCTGGGCTTCGTTCTGGAGGTGGGGGACATGGTGAGGTGAGGTTTAGAAAGCACACCTGAGCCACAGCGTGTAGGATGCTGGAAATGGTGGAGACGGGCCTGCAAAGACTGCCGGGAAGTGATGAGCCAGGAGCAGCAGCCGGGCACCTAATAATGGGTCAGCACTGTGGACGTGGAGACGAGAGATGGGATTGATCAATACCCGAGAAGTACAATGTGCAGGACTTGGGTTCCATTTGGATGGAGTGGGTGAGGGAGAGGGAGGAGTCAGAAAAGGCTTCCAGTTTCCAGCTTGGGCCTGGGGATTGGAGATGTCCCCACTGAGAGTAGGACACAAGTGCGGAAATGGTTTGGAGAGGAAGATGATAAGTTACATCACGGACGTACTGAGTCTGAGTTGCCTATGGGACTTGGAATTGGGGGTGGCAAAAGGTGTGTGATCTTGAGCAAGATATTCAACCCTTCTGGGCCTTGGTCTTCTCATCTGTAAAATGACGATAAGAATATTACCTCCCATTTGTGTTGCTGTGAAAATTAAATGCACTACCACATGTAAAATGTTGAGAATCGTTTCTGGCTCAGAGTAAGTGCTCAATAAACACAGTTATGCCTTTTATATGGTCTGGAGCTCAGAAGTAGAAGATGGGGGTTCGTGAAGTCATGGGTCTGTGGATGTAGCTAGAGTGTGGATTAATGACAGGAGGGTCGGGGGCACTGCACAAGGCAGATGGTCAAGAGACACTGGACACAACCCAAATGTCCCTCCACAGGGGAACAGATACATACAAGGCTGTGCAATTGCACATAATAGAATCCTATACAATAGTGAAAATTAAGGCACAACAGACACCTGCAACAACACAGAAAAATTCTGGAGGCATAAAAAGTAATAACAGTAGCTGGGCGTGGTGGTTCACGCCTGTAATCCCAGCACTTTGGGCGGCAGAGGTGGGTGGATCACAAGGTCAAGAGATCAAGACCATCCTGGCCAACATGATGAAACCCTGTCTCTATTAAAAATGCAAAAATTAGCTGGGTGTGGTGGCAGGCACCTGTAGTCCCAGCTACTCGGGAGACTGAGGTGGGAGAATTGCCTGAACCTGGGAGGCGGAGGTTGCAGTGAGCCAAGATTGCATCACTGTACTCCAGCCTGGCGACAGAGCGAGACTCGGCCTCAAAAAAACAAAAACAAAAACAAAAACAAAAAACAACAACAGCCTGGCGTAGTTGGGCACCTGTAGTCCCAGCTACTCAAAAAGCTGAGGCAGGAGAGAACCCCTTGAATCCAGGAGGCGGAGGTTGCAGTGAGTGGAGATTGTGCTGCTATAGTCCAGCCTGGGTGACAGAGTGAGATTCCGTCTCAAAAAACCAAAAAAGTAATACAGACTATATACAATGTGACACCAGTCTTGTAGCTGAAAAATAAGCAAAAATACATTCTTCACTATATATATGTAAGAAAGCTATTTTAGAAAAAGAAATAATTCCTACAGGCAGATGGGGAGGAACACCAGAGTAGTGCAAGCTATTAATAATTTTCTAGTTCTGGGGTTGGACATTTGTGGGTTTATTATATGATTGATAGCATATAAATGTGATCCATATTGTTTGTATGTTTTTTTTATATATATATATTTATATATATATATATATTTTTTTTTTTATGGAGTTTCGCTCCCATTGCGCAGGCTGGAGTGCAGTGGCGTGATCTCAGCTCACTGAAACCTCTGCCTCCCGGGTTCAAGCAATTCTCCTTCCTCAGCCTCTCAAGTAGCTGGGATTACAGGCGTGCGCCACGACACCCGGCTAATTTTTGCATTTTTAGTAGAGACTGGATTTCACCATGTTGGCCAGGCTGGTCTCAAACTCCTGACCTCAAGTGATCCACCCACTTTGGCCTCCTAAAGTGTTAGGATTACAGGCGTGAGCCCTCGCACCTGGCCAGTATGTAGTATTTAAAAGACAAAGAAAGAATAGCTGTAGTGTGAGAATGGGGGGCAGGGGGTAGGGGTAACAGGTGGGGAGCCTGGTGAGATCACAGGGAATCCAGGGAGGACGACTGTGTCTGACATCCCATGGTGGGAGGAGCTGAGCCAGGGGAACCAGGGCTGGGAGTGACCAGGGAAGGGCCCACAGCTGGAAGTTGGAAGTCCCCAGCTGTACAATAGCCTTCTTCGGTGACCCTCTGTAAGCCCCTTCCCCAGTCTTACCCTCAGCGGCCCTGTGAGCCTCTCTCATTCTTGGCATTCCAGAGCAGAATGGTCCCAAGGCCTCAGTTACAGCTGAGAGAGGCATATACGGGGCCCAGGGTTCTGGTTCCTACCCTCCTCTGCCCTTCCCCAAGCACTTCAGCCCTCTGGCATCCTCCTGTCCCTGGGAGGGGCCCTGGAGGCAGGGCAGCCATGGGTTCATACAGAGCTCCCACCTGCTGTCCACTGCTCTGCCACAGGCTTGCACGAGGCCCGCTGCCCTTAACACCTTGCAGTTTCTGGTCCCAACATCAGGCTCAGATGAGCCCTGACCAGTTGCAGAGCAAGCCTTTCCATTCTCTTGGCAGATACCAGTTGAGAGCCCCCAGTGTGCCAGGCACCATTCCAGCATTGAGGACACAGGCATAAGGAAGATAAAAGTCCTTGTCCTCATGGAGCTAGCGTTCTATGTAAAATATATGGCGTGTTATAGATGCTATGGAGAAAAAGCAGGCAGTGTATAGAAAGTGTGGGGAGGTGTGAAGAGCAGATGGCCTCAGTGAGAAGGTGACTTTGAGTAAAGACCTGAAGGAGTGAGGGAGTGAGCCATGTGGACACTTGGGGAAAGAACATGCCAGGCTGAAGGAACAGCCAGCTCTCTGAGGGGGAGCTGGAGGGGCCATGGTGCTGGAATGGAAAGAGGAAAGGGGAGAAGATGTCAGAGAAGTAAGGGGGATGGTGGGTGGACTGAGGCCAGGCCCTGGGGAGAGATGAAAACAAGGGCTGGGGCAGAGGTGGGCAGTCTCTGGGGGAGAAAGACAGGTACTGCATCAGGAAAGAAGGAAGGAAGGAAAGGAGGAAGGAGGGAGAGAGGGAGGGAGGGAGGCATCAGGATAAGGTGGGGTGGGCATCATAGTACCTTGTAGGTCCCTGCTCTTGGTTTTGCTGTCATGCACACGCACGCACACACACGTATGCACATGCATGCATATGCATGGTTCCTCCTGTAGATGGATCTGTGCAGCTCTGGGACCCGGGCTAGGACATGAGCCATGGGAGCACTGGACCCTCTCCCATTCTCCCAGGCCCAGCATGGACTGGCTGTGTGACCTGGATAGGACCCCTTCCCTCTCTGGGCCTCAGTTTCCCCACATGTACAGAAGGCTTGGATCTTTTGGTGTCTGGAGAGCCCCCCAGCTCTTCTTATAGCACTTTGAAGCCTCATGTCATGGCCCCACTCCCAGGCCAGGCCCATCCAGGGCTCTGCAGATGAAT